TTTTTTTGTATTCTTATTCTCTATGTTTCCTGACGTCCGACCCTGCACGGAATCGAACCGCCGCCATCAAGCTTAACAGCTCGGTGCCTCAACCCCACTACACCCAGGTACTTTTTTCAAGTTTTTGGTCATTTTTCCAGGTCGACTGTGAGCGCTCCGCCCTCGTTTCTTTTCATCTACCGTCACAAAAGCCTTGCGATGCGAGGCCGTTGGATATATAGCATTCTCATGGAGGCCGACGAATATTACCTCCTCCTCCTCCTCCTCCTCCTCATCATCATCATCATCATCATCATCTGATCATCATCTGATCATCATCATCATCATCATCGGATCATCATCATCATCATCATCATCATCATCATCATCATCATCGTCATTTCTAAGCACCGACGGCATCATCATGGTCGTCACATGAAACGTTGACATCATCTTCATCAAGAACGTTGCTATCGTTAATAAATTAGCAGTGATCCTCCTCCTCCTCCTCCTCCTCCTCATCATCATCATCATCATCATCATCATCGTCATCATCACCGTCATCATCATCACCACCATCCTCATCACCACAACCCCGATCCGTATCAAGATCATCATCATCATCATCATCATCATCATTACCTCAATTATCATAATCGTTATCACGTCGGCGAGGTCATCATTCTTCATCATCAAGGCTCTGCAGTGATCATCATCAAGCTCTCTCTCTCTTTGACAGCACGGGCGTCAGGATGGTTGCTTTCCATTTCTTTCTTCTTCTTCTTCTTCTTCGTCGTCGTTGTCGTCGTCGTCGTCTTTTTTTTTTTTTTTTTTTTTTTTTTTTTTTTTTTTTTTTTTTTTTTTGCTTTGCATTTGTTTTCGCATCGTCCTGATCAATAATTATTGCTTGTCATTGTCGACGGCGCCAAAGTTGATAGCGCCGATGGTTTTCGTTGACGTCGCCATCATCGTCATCCCCTCGTCTCGACCATACATCATCAGACATCACAAGAACAGAACACTGAGATCCTCTCCGCGCCAGATTGCCTCACTTTCTTTAGACGACGGGCCTCCTCGCTCCACTACACAACACTCTAGATGTGCATTCATTTGAGCGAGGCCCGAAAAAGAATCCTACGTCAGGTTCTCTCCGCGCCAGACTGTCTCTCCCTATGCGAGACGAAAGCCGACCCTACATCATCGTCATCCCTTCAACGAGTCTGGCACTACAGTGACCCTCAATTTGAGAAAGAAAGTGACCAGACTCGTTGAGAAAGAAAGTGACCATGTTGCTCAACATCCGTGTCGTCGATTTCGATCGATACGATTTGAATCGATACGATTGTCGATTCGGATTGATCCGTCAAACGGAAACGGATCGGATTTGGGTCGGATTCGGGTCGGATTTGGCTTGGATTTGAAATGGATTCGGGTCGGATTTCGATTGGATTTGAAATTGGAATCTGGGTCGGATTCGGGTCGGATTTGGAATGGATTTGAGTTGGATTCGGGTCGGAGGTCGAATGGATTTCACTTGGATTCGGTCCAGATTGGGATCGGATTTGGATCGGTCGATCGGAACGATCCGATTCGTATCGGGTCAATCAGATCTATCCAATTCGTATCGGATCCGATTCGGATCGATCCGAAAGGGATCCATTAATATCTATCGATGAATCAATAAATGCATAAAACACAGAACCCTGGCTGTCATCATGGACGTCACCGACCCAAAAAAAAAAAAAAAAATCATTTTTTCCGCTCTAGCGAGAGCTTGAAGTGGAAGTTACTTTCTTCCGCCTTGTCATCTCTCTCTCTCTCTCTCTCTCTCTCTCTCTCTCTCTCTCTCTCTCTCTCTCTCTCCTCCCCCCCACCACACACACACACACACACATACATACACGCAGAGAGAAAAGGGGTAAAAAAAGGACGGAAGTTTTTCATTAATTTATTTTTAAGCGGACAGAAAATTTTGGTTTCGGCGGAGGATTTTTTATTTTTTTGTGTTGGGGGGAACGATGCTCGCACGAGGAGGAGGGGTATTCGGCGAACGATATAGAAAATTATTGCACGGACGCCAATAAAGGGTTTTTTTTTTTTCTTTTCCCCAATCAACGATTCGACCACCGCCAATTAAGGGGGAAAGGGGGGGGGCAACATGCATACCCTTAATTGTGAGATGTAGAAAGCTATGCTTGCAGGGGAGCCCTGTATAGGCTTAGGAGTAGTGGTAGGTAGATCATAGTGAAAGGTGAAATTGAGAGAAGAATATAGCTCTGTTTTTTTTTTTAAGGAAAAATAAAATAAAAATTGTGTCCCACTAAGGCTCCAGCTAGCTCCGACAGGATTCGTTTCTCAAATTTAAAAACATTTACGAAAGGTTGCCCAAAAAAAAAAAAAAAAAAAAAAAAAAAAAGAAAGAAAGAAAGACAGCCGCAAAAAAGAAGAACGGCAAAAGAGTATCGGAATCAAGCAATTCACATCCGTCCTCTGTTTCTTTCTTTTTTGGATTTTTGAATCATTTTTCCTAATACACCTCCTTCTACTTCCCAGATGCCCTCGATTACTCTGTAGGCGTCATCATTTTTGCATAACGGCTTCCAAGACAAAGGGGGGGGGATCGGTGCACCACTCGCCATACTTTCTTTTTTTTTTTCTTTTTTTTTTTTTAAGGGCATTACTCATACCAGACACCCAAAAAAATCGTAGAATTAAAAAAATAAAAATAAAAAAAAATCGTAGAATGACAAAATCAACGGCCAGATCAATCAAGTGCTTCTAAGAGGAGGACTCAATCTGGCCGCTCATTTTGCGAGTCCGCCATTTTGAGGGCTTCGTGTGAGTTGAAAAAAAAAAAAAAAAAAAAAAAAAAAAAAAAAAAAAAGAAAAGGGCCTAGTGTGAGCAAACTCTATAAGGGGGAAGAACGGTTGGAGATACAGGGTTGCCTCGCTCCACCACCCTCGAAATGTGCAAAACGAGAGTGAATATTCCGCTAGAACAAGGAAAGATTCATCGCCATGATTTTTGTCTTTTGTGCATTTCCGGAGTAGTGGAGCGACGCCTACATTCACAATGTTGTGTTTGGCGAGTGGTGCGGCGAGGGGGCCCAAATTCGAGCGGGGGGCTGCTCCCGTTAGCAAGGGAAAAGGAGGATTGGATTAAAACCCTGAATGTGGATGTGTTTTGTGCAGAGATGCAGGAAAGCCAATCAATCGCAATTGTCTGCATCTGTCCTCAAACGCGTCAAGATTCAGAAATGATATCCAATCCTCTTGGCTTGAAGGGGACCACGACCCGGGATACAGAAGAAAGCGCGGGAAAAGAAGCCGCAGGTGCCATAACAGCGCAATGGCGGGAGGACAACGAGCGCGAAATTAGGTACAGCGGAAGGGAGAACATATGCCCGCGTCCCAGCGCGCCAGTGACGATGGTCAGCGCTCCGCCACGTCGGCGGGGCGGGGGCGCGGGGGGAGCGGCGGCGGAAAGATGGCCCTCGTCGGGAGCCTTGCGCGCCACGCGGCTCTTACTGTAATGTCCGATAGGAGCAGAGTAAACAGGGCGTGGCAGAGGGAGGACTGATGGGAGTGGTTGCTCAAAGGGGGAGGGGAACTGGGAGAAAAAAGCGAGGGACAGGAGGAGAAAGGGGTATTGGTGGAAGAGAGTGCGGGACAGGAGGCTGAAGGAATAAACAGGCGGCAAACATGAGGAGGAGGGGCATTCAGGGGCGAAAGCGCCGGAGCTACCTTCTTCCCCCGAATACAACGCACGGTCATGATAGCTGTATTTGAAGGCTGAAAGATGCCCCCCCAAGTACAAGTACAGCTATGATGACCATGCGTTGTATTCGGGGGAAGAAGGTAGTGGGTCCCACTGGCTTGTGTTCTTCATTCTTGACCGCGGATTGTGGCCGGAATACGCAGATCCATGGCCAGAAATGAAGATCATCATCGAGTGGGACTTGGCCCCGGGACAGGCGACAGGAAGTATTCAGAAAAGAGAGCGCGGGACAGGCCGCGGCGGGAAGAACAAAGACGCCGCGGGGAAGAACTCTAGTTGATGGCGGGAAGAAGGAGCGAAAAGGCGGCAAACAAGTCACAAGTGGCAAGCAAAGCGCGGGACGATGGCGCCGGGACCACCATGTCCTCGTTGCAAGGAAGGACTCATCGTCGTTCCTGGTCATCGATGTTCGTTCATAAGCTACTAGAAGCTCGAAATGACCAGGAACGAAGAACCCGAGCAAGTCCGAGCTCACGTACCGGCCATGCGCATCACCTCTTTTTTTTGGGGGGGGGGGGGTTGGAAATAAAGACGAGGCGGGGGCGGGAAAGAAGCGCGCAGGCGCGTACGTACATGCGGAAGGGGATGCGCGTCGGCGGCGGTTGATGGCGTAGAGCCTGGCGATCCGTGGCTCCCCTCATTGTTGCGCCTCGATCGCAGAATGTGGTCGCAATTAGCGCCCAGGGGGACGTCCGCCTTTGAGATTTCGACCAGCCTTCAGCCTCCAGGCCTTTCCTACATTACCTGGTCCAGGGTCGGCCCGTCAAGGCTCAAGGGTCTGCCGCCCTCGTGGCCCACTGGTCGTAGGTCGTCTCGCTCCTATCGCTCCCCTGGCCACACACTCTCTGCGCCCGTTCTCTTTTTCCATCCCCTCACTCTGCTCGCCCACCGGGTTTTCTTCTATCTTCTAGTCTCCACCGTGCGGTTAGGCGATTGAGTGAGGATGAGGACATGCTCGCACGGCGTCAGAACGTCGAAGTGAGGTATTCCGGCAATGTCCCGTACACCCGTGGGTATGTGGGATGTTATTTGGGATTGCGGTGGTTTTTTTTTTTTTTTTAATTAATTTTTATTATCTTTTTTTTTTATTATTTTTTTTTTTTTTATTTTTTTTATTTTTTTTTTTAAGAGGGATTGCGGTTTGGAATTGAAGGTCTACGGACTGGTCGATTCTATTTGTGCCATTATGGTGTGCGACTGCGTGTTGTGCACTCACTGTTCAATGATGAGTGCAATCGTTTGGACTCAACATATAGGGCCTCGCTGTACTACTCTTGAAACTTGAAAAATCAAGAGTTCATCACCGCTGCACTAACTCTTGACGGTGATGAACTCTTGATGCCGCGTCCTGGATTTCTATTCAAGAGCTGTCACATTCACTCTCGAAAACGTCCAGAGTGAGTCATCGCTGCACTAACTGTGGAAAACTGCTCTTGGTCCGGCGCTTCAAGAGGTGCCAGAAATGGCCCTTCGGACGAGCTCTTGAAGTTTCCACAGTTCCCGCCTGCAGGAGCTTTTTTTTTTGAACGAGGGTTGACGGGTCCCCTCGTGCGGTTTGCAAATTCGAGAGTTGGCCTCCAGTCTCGGTGGACAAATCGTAGTGTCTCTCCGACAGTCAAGAATGCTCACGAGAGTCGAGAGTCCGGAGTAAGTGCAGCGACGACAACACTCGATGCCAATCCAGGAGTCTGACAGCACTAGACAGCGAGGCCCATAGACCGTACACCCATCTTTGTGAACGTAGTCGCGCATAGTGCAGCGAGGCCCATAGACCGTACACCCGTCTTTGTGAACGTAGTCGCGGCGAGACTTTTAAGCAACGTTTCAGTCATAGGGCCTCGCTCAACTACTTTCCACGTGCACAAAAGACAAAAAAGACGGCAATGCATCTTTTTCTTTTTTTTTTTTTTTTGTATTGGTAGCCGCTCCATCTATTGGTGGGGATCTTCACCTGCTGGTCCAGCGTCCCTTGAATATACATGTGAGAACATAGTTGTCAGAGAGTCTTGGATAAGTACCTTTGAATATTCTGACTGGAGCTCCTCACTCAGCCCAGGGATGGGAAAATAGCTGTCTCTTATACACATCTAGATGTGTATAAGAGACAGATATTAAGACTATCTAGAGGGGACCCCTGCAAGCATAGTTTCCTCTCTCTGTGAAGGGGAGATTTCATGTTGCCCCTTGCCCCTAATGGTTAGGGTATAGGCTTGGGGTCGCCAGTGGGGGTCTGGCTAACACAAAGACCGAGACCTGCCAGTAGCTGTGCCTCCCTTTCTCATCGTCCCCCACCCTTCATCGAGTAGCAGCAGAGGCTATGGCCAACACTCTCCCACACACCACACACAACCCACTCACGCTCACACTCACACCCGTGTTGGTCATAGACCCCGCTAATACCAATCAGGGGTATCCAGAGGACTATCACAGTCCGTTGGCACTAAGTGCGCCGCAGGCGGCCATGGGGTTTGAACCTTTGAATATTCTGACTGGAATATTCTGACTGGAGCCTCTCACTCAGCCCAGGGATGGGAAAATAGTAAGAGAAACACTGCCTCTTCACCCTTTTTTTCAGGGTGCCAGAAAAACTATTAACCCTAGCTGTGTTGCTCCTAAAAGGTATATTCCTACTTAAACTGCCTTTATATTCCACAGCGGAGGATTCAGTTTCAGACGGCAATGCATCTTTCCATGTTCTAGTGGAGGATTCAGTCTCAGTTTGCACATGTGAAGAGTACTGCAGCGAGGCCCATAAACCTGAGAAATCCGGGACGGCGAAATCCAGCCTGAGCAGCCTGCGGGCCTACCGGTAGCTCAGTTCGTAAGGCACACCAGTTGCATGCATGCAGGAGGTCGTGGGTTCAATCCCCATTGGCCTCACGTACGACGACGTGCCTGGGCAAGCTTGGTGTTCTACCAGCTAGACTAGAGATAACCCGTTGGCCCTCCAAGCCAGCGTTGGCAGGACCTTGGCCAATATTGTTGGTTGCTATGGAGCAATGATATTGGCCATTGGACACTGCTAATGTGGGGTTGGTGGGGTGGGGTGGAGGGAGGTGCGAGCGACTGGCCAAAGATGCTCGGCACTACCGGTAGCATCGCCAGTTTCCCCCGTCAGCAATGCCTGATCACCCCACATCGTCTTGATGAGGGACTGATACATACAAGCCTTGCTCTCGCACCACTGCTGTGGTGCCAACCTACCGCGTGGGCCCGTGGGCTGGGGACAGTCCCAGAGGGGTGGTTGGGTGGTGGTCCCCCCTAACTGTGCATACATAGAGTAGCGAGAGGATGAGATAGATGAGGAAAATATATATCTACAAAGAAGATTGACAGAAGAAGAATATAGATTAGTTTTATAAAAAAGAAATCATCAGCCTGAGCCTGAACCAACCCGTCTACCTCAGTTGGTGCACCCATGAACTGTTGAAATACAGGCCGCGGCCGGGTTCGAGTCCCGATAAAATCAGATGACCCGAAAGAAAATTGGGGCCGGTCAGTTCAATGATGATATCTCAAGGCTGGTCGCCCTTTTATTCCAAAAGGCTTTCATCGAGGCCAGCGACCTCCCAATTCAACCTGGACTACTGAGAGCATTACTCAGCTTGGCTTAACGTCACCTCTGCGAAACGCAGCCAGTGCAAATACAAATTCTTCCTCTCGACTTCCACTGGTCCTACCTCTACCCACCCCTCTACCCACACTACCCTTCAGAGGCCTACTGCAGCCTGACACCAGCCTGCACGGCCAGTCGGAACTCGTAGTTCTGAAGTACATTGACGCTCTACCACCCACCTCCCCCAAATGGCCTACTGTGGCCCATGCGGAGCCGATTGTCCTGGTTTGAACGACCTACTTACCCTACCCCTTCCCTTTTCCTACCACCCCTACCTAATCTTCCTGCCCCTAAACACCGACTCCCCAAACTGGCCTCTACTGTGGCCCGCACCTAACCAGATTCATGCTTCATGCCTGGCCACGTGTAGGATCTAAGTAGGGTAGCATGGGTCTTCCGCCAACCAAAGTGGCCTTCAGTATCGTGGCATTCCCCTAGGATCAGACTGCGTACCTCTTCACTACACGGTATGCAAAAAGCCTATCATGCACATCAGTCTTCTCAAACAGCAATCCACAGTGGTGGTTTAAACTGCCACGGCCCCAAGCAATCCAAAGTTATATTCTGGTGATTGTCTGATTGCATCTGGATTCAAACTTGGGTCTTTAGTTCAACAGTTCATCGGTGCACAACTGGGCTAGGCCCCTTGGTACCATACTGCATTTTGGAAGTTGTGGGAGGGTTCCACCGCTATCCTGGTTCGCTGACCTGTCTGCCGCCCCAAGGACAAGTGCCACCCCTGGAGGAGTCCCCCGACCCCTGAAAACACCCCTACTCTACCCAAAAGCTAATGCAGCCGAGCCCCACAGCTCAACTGTTGTCCATGTGGATACGTCAGAAACACCCCGTGGTCGAGATACTCTTTATTTCACTCCTTTCATTTATACTTAGTGTGATTGCTATAGATGAGCAGTCCAGTCCAGCCGCTCCACTGTCTTGGCCGGGTGGACAAGGCCGAAACATCCATGGTGCGGACAATGAGCCCTACCCCTCGAACGGGACCCAGAGAGAAGCCAGCAGCCTCCGCTCTGATTCTCAAGGACCTGCACTGAGCCAGACAGGGGAAGACGCCATTCCTCTGCAGATGCCAGTAGATGTGAAGGAACTGCAGCTATCATACCATGACTACGGAACGTTGGGCCTCGCTCGACTACTTCCAAATCTGCAAAATAAGAACGAATCTTCCACTAGAACTTGGGAAGATACACCGCCATATTTTTGTCTTTTGTGCATGATGTGGCGAGTGGGCGATCGAGGCCCATTACGCCCATCTTCCCTTGAATGCTCTCAAATGTTTGTCAGTGCACTCCGTACAGGTACTTTTCTACTAAGAGGTAACTAGGGCGCAGTCACGATTTCAGTTTAAGACCCACTTCAGGCATCCCTCAAATACAACATACCCCCACCGGACCCTAAGGCTAGGTTGTATACATTCACCATTTTCCGTGCCGCGAAATTGTGCCTCAAGTGCATTTTCAAACTGAAACCGTGACTGCACCCCAGTTTTCCCTTCTGCGGGGCTAAAGAAGGCATGCGCGCACACTGCAACTGCTACACTCGGCCCTTTCTTTTTTTTTTTTTTTTCTTCCGAAAGCCCTTGTGACATCCCTCTATCTCAGCGGTGGTACAAGAACCGCTAAAATTGAGGGCTTGTCTGTTGGGCTGCTCCATCGATTGGTGGGGAGCGGCACCTGCTGGAAACCGGGTCCAGCGTCCCTTGTGACAGATGTTACAAATTAAGAAGTTCGTAATTGCTGTTCCCTGGGGCTGCGGCAGTTTCAGTTTCTGTTCCGGGGCTCTATTATCCCTTGGAGCTGCTAAAGCACCCAACCCTTCTTTCGCTCGGCTTTTTGGCCTCGTGTGATGTGACGATTAGAATTCTATTGTGGTCATCGGGATCGACGTACATGGGACGATGGAGCCGGTTTCCAGCAGGTGTAGCTCCCCACCAAGAGATCGGAGCACCGGCAGAAGGCCTACTCGGGGAGGCTGGTCGTACCACCCCCTGCGTCCATAAAGGAAAAAAGAACAAAAAAAAAACATTTTCTACTCGGAGAGCCAGTATCAAAATCGTCTCACAAACGCCAAAAAGTTTGAGATCGTGACCACCGC